TATTTAATTTAAGTTACGATAATGAGGAATTCATATTATTTACCTCAGATCCTTATTGTGGTAAACTCGAAACAAATCCCTCAATAAAAGCCCAGTTTGAGGGCTTGGGATTTTCGGGGATGATAGGGACAAGCAGCCCCTTTTTCTGTGGCACAGAGCGGAAGCTCAGGGATTCAGGCGACGAGCTTCAGAAACTGCGGCGAATCTCACAACCTGCGATGCAGACCGTGGTGTCACAGAGACCCTTGGGGGGGTAGGGGGTAGGGGAGTATACTTCCTTAACAAGGCCTGATTGCCGGCATTAATGCCCTCTATGATGGAAATTACATCCCATCCGAAGCTTACAGCGCGAGTGGCGCCCGCCTCCCCCCACCCGCCTCCCCCTACCCCCCAGAGGCACTCCCGGTCCCAGCCTCTATTGGGCCATTCTCCAGCCTCTGAAGTCGGACAGATAGCCATCGGCTTGAAACTGCAACGGGTAATCGTTAGCCCACCCGTAGCGTCGGAGAGGTAGCCCGTGCCGCCGGAACCCAGGTGTCTCGGCGCGCCCGCGTCTGATGCGCGAGACTAGTAGAGGCTTCCACCCGTCGCCAGCTCCTGCAACAGCCAGGGCACCACTTTTGCGCTAAATCCGAAACCCTATGCCCTACTATAGGGGCCTTAATAATTATAACAGGGTTTCGGGGCCCATTATACTGTAATGTTTACAAGGAACCCCCAAAATAGTATTGGTATTTATGTAGGCCCCTACAGTACACCCTCTTCTAAGTGAGGAGCCTGGCAGACAGACATGCCAGTGGCACAGCAGCTGGAGCCTTGCAGATGCGGCCCTTATAATGTAGCTTGATATCGTGAAATATAGTATGATGTAGTATCATGTAGTAAACTATAGCATAACAGAGCATAGTACAGTGCAGGATAGCTTTCTGAACCTACTCTCGTCTGCAATAGTATAATATAACAATAACATATCCCAATATACGACAATATAAAATAAAATTACATAATGTAATACAAAATAGAACAGCATAGAATGCCAGAACATAGATACTATGTGAATATATATATATATATATACATACAAGATGACATAACATAACGTAATACAATATCATAACATAAAATATAAGATAATATAACATGATACTTACCTGGCTCAGTAGGGTTTCTGGGTTTAGTAAGCAGCGATACTGGGATTTACTAATTTACTAGGCTTGCTAGGGTCCGATAGGTTAGTAGGGTTTGTAGGGTTACCAGGGTTCGTCGAGTTCAGACGGCGTGTAGGCTTAGTGGGTCTGCTGCTTTTTTTCAGGATCTCGGGTTTCGGGTTCAGGGTTGGCCTCTGAGAATTTCCTCAAAGCCTCAAGCCCTAAACCCTCCTCGAAACACCCGAAGCCCTTCCCTTTGTCTGTGCATTACAAGTATGAGCATGAAGCTGCAGAAGTGATGCTTGCATGCACAGGACAGCTGGCGGGGGGATCCAGATTGTGGACGATTCACAAGTCATCACATACAGGGGATTGACAGGGTTGTTATGAAGGCTTGATTCGGGGTCAATAAGGGTGTCATCAATGGGGTGCTTTAGGGTTCGAGGTAAGATGGAGCAAACCACTGGCCTTTGCGATATAGGGTTTCAGTGGGGTTTGAGCATTTTAGGCAAGATTTTTCGCGTTTGCGGTCTGCAGGTTTTTACATGGCACTGTATAGGCTTCAGGTTCTAAGGTTGGGTTCGGGTTTGGGGGTTTGGGGTGGGGTAGGGTGTGTTGAAGGCTCTACATGTTTGATATTTCTGGGAGCTGCGAAATGACGTGTCATTCGCATCCAGAAGTCGTCAAACCCGGCTAGGAGGGTTCATAAGCGTCTTATATGGCTTTATGGATGGTTTCTACTAGAGGCTTCCGAGGGAGCTGTCGCTATTTGGGCTTAGAACTTACGGTTTAGGGCTTAGGGTTGAACGCATGTCCGAAAAAGAAGTTCGAACCAAACAAGGCACAACTACACTATGGCTGTTTTGGGGCCAGATATTTTCCAAACAATCACCATATACAGCCCGCCTAGCCAGTCGACGGCAAACTCGAGCTTGTTATGATTCGCCTCAACATCCTCACCTCGGTCTGACAAGAAGAAAACTTCAGAGGCTTGAGGCTTAAGCTTTTGGGTCTAGGCGCCATCATGGGCCACCTGAATCGTTTTTGCCCTTCATAACTGGCCGTCCCTGCACATCTGACTAGCTGCCCTAGGCCCTAGCTTCCTGCTCTCTTTTGCTCCGAGTGTCAAGTGCCCTGGCTGATGGCTGTGGCGATGCCCTGCCAGGCATCGGGACATACGGGAGTTTCCGAAAATTGGGGGCCCTAATATGGTACCCTAAATGGTAGGATCCTTATTATAAAGACCTCCAAAATAAGGTACCCTTTTTTTGGAAACTCCCATACCGGGCATAAGGGGAACATCCGGAAGAACCCGTGCCTTGTGAACCTCAGCTGCCATCCACTGCAGGTCCTGCCAGCACTGGTACTCGATGTACTTGCCGCCTGACAGCAGGAATCCATGAACTCGCGCTGGTACACTTCGGAACAGCAAAAACCATTGTCCAGCCTAGGGCAGTGCAGGCAGCAGCGGTTTCGCAGTGGCAGTGGTGCTCGTTGCCCGTGCAGCCCTCCGGGAAATTCGCCAAGGCACTTCAAGGCACTTCAAGAGCTTCTCAGAAACCCCAAACACCGGCCTGCGCATGGCAGTCTGCCTCGGCAGGTGGCGGGTAGAGCCCCTCACACCAAGCCCACATCGTCTTGTTGTGGTCGAAGTCCTCACCAGAGCGGCCCCGCGCCCCCCTCACCACACGGACGGATCCCGGCTGTCACCCTTCTGTCCTGGCTGCGCAGGCAAGGCGTCATGGCCTGGACATCCTTGTCGCAGATGCTTGTCGGGAAGGACTTGCAGCACTGTTGGGCCGGCCAGTTCACGAAGTCCTGCAGCCAGGTGCACTCACCTTCTGACAGACGCGGCACTGTGCCCGTCCTGAGCACGCATACCACGGACCTGCATAACACAGCAGCAGAAATCATGGCTGGGAAGCATGGCTGAAGCTGTTTATAATAAGGCACCCTTGCGAATCGATACGCGGATACTATCAATTTTGCCAACAGAAGCAACAGCAGTAGCAGAAGCAACAAGAGCAGCAGGAGCAGAAGCAGCAGCAAAGCAGCAGTAGAAATACAAAGAAAAAGCAGTAGTAGTAGTAGTAGTAGTAGTAGTAGTAGTAGTAGTAGTAGTAGTAGTAGTAGTAGTAGTAGTAGTAGTAGTAGTAGTAGTAGTAGTAGTAGTAGTAGTAGTAGTAGTAGTAGTAGTAGTAGTAGTAGTAGTAGTAGTAGTAGTAGTAGCAGTAGCAGTAGCAGTAGCAGCAGTAGCAGTAGCAGTAGCAGTAGCAGTAGCAGTAGCAGTAGCAGTAGCAGTAGCAGTAGCAGTAGCAGTAGCAGTAGCAGTAGCAGTAGCAGTAGCAGTAGCAGTAGTAGCAACTAGTGGCAGGTAGTAGCAGGTAGTACTAGTAGCAGTAATAGTAGTCGTAGTAGTAGTAGTAGTAGTAGTCGTAGTAGTAGTAGTAGTTGTTGTTGTAGTAGTAGCAGTACTAGTAGTACTAGTAGTAGCAGCAGGAGGAGCGGCCCCTCATTCTGCTACTCCGCACGAAGGTTTCAGGCCTCAAGGTCGAGGCATGTGCCGTGCTCGTCCGCCTTCTGCAACATCTTGTGCTGCTCCGGACTGTCAGGGCAATCAGGCAAGGCACGGTATAGAGTTTAGGGTGATTTTTTGTAGAGCTCTTGTCCGTCTGGCAGCCTAGACCCCCCAGGAAGCCTACTTGAGCCTTTAGAGCTTGGGGCCAAAGCAGGGGCCAGAATAGGCTCTGAAATACGATGTACCAGTCTTTGTACACTCATGAAACCCTAAACCCTAAGTCATTCGGGTAGGTGCAGCCAATGCGCCTCCATTGGGACACCTCCTTCGCGCAGGTGTGCGCGTTCCAGAAGGCACCCACAGCTTCACAGCTGGCGCGGTCCTCGCAATGGCACCAGCCCTGTCCTCCATAGCAGCCTTCTTGAGCGTTGCAGACCGTCTCCTGACGCAGAAAGCCCTGTGACAAATCTGGAAAGAATTCCTGAACAGAGTGATACTGGTCCGGGGGAGAAGAGCGCTGACGAGAAACGTGTAAGTGCTACCCTGCTACCAATACCATGCTACGTCGCAGTCTGCGGACTCGGCTCCTCGGGCATAACCGCCCCATCGCTGTAGAAGTCGCACCAGGCATACATCTCCTTCTCTGGGGTGTAGTCGCCCTCATCCTTGCAGGGAGTCATGTGGCGGGCGGTCTTGTCGCAGAGCGTGGCAGGGAAGGAGGCGCAGCACTTCGTGGCGGTGTAGTCGATCACGTTGGCGAGATCGCCGTACATGGCATTTACCCCACAGGTACCGCTCTCGTCAGCCTCTTGCAAGGCCTTGTGCTTCGCAGGTTCCCAGTGACCGATCTCCATGTCGCAGGTAGACACCTTCCATGTGCCACCCACCCCCTCGCAGCTTGGCTGCGAGTCGCAGTGACAATGGCCATTGTGGCTGCGGCAGCCGTGGGCCGTGCAGGTGTCCGAGTCCACCGAAGAGCCATGCAGGTCACAATACTCGTGCACGACGTTCGACGGCATGAAGTCGGCTTCGTCCTTGCAAGGCGTCATCTTCTTGGCGGTAGGGTCGCAGAGCGTGGCTGGGAAGGAAGCGCAGCACTGCCGGGCTGGATAGTCAATCATGCTGACCAGATCGCCGTACATGCTGTGGACACCACAGGTGCCGTTCTCGGAAGCCTCTTGCAAGGCCTTGTGCTTCGCAGGCTCCCATACCTCCATGTCGCAGGTGGTCACCTTCCACGTGCCACCGACCCCATCGCAGCTTGACTGCGAGTCGCAGTGACAATGGCCATTGTGGCTGTTGCAGCCGTGGGCCGTGCAGGTGTCTGCGTCGACCGAGGCACCGTGCAACTCACACCACTGGTGCAGAGGGTTCGACGGCATGAAGTCGGCTTCGTCCTTACAAGGCGTCATCTTCTTGGCGGTAGGGTCGCAAACAGAGGCCGGGTAGGAGGCACAGCACTTCGAGGACTCGTGCTGCAGCGCAACCGACATCGGCTGTCCGTGCCAATCAACATCCTCGCAGATGCCCGTAGCAGCACTCTGCACCGCGAGGTGCTTCTTGGAGTCCCATTCTTGAATTTCCGCATCACAGCTCCGCTGCTTCCAGGCTCCCCCGGCCGCAGTGCAGGCTTCGTAGTTGTCGCAGTGGCACCAGCCCTCTCCGGCATGGCAGCCAGGAGTCGTGCCACATGTTTCCGGGACCGTCCCGTGAAACTCGCACCACTCATGGAGGAAGTGGCCTGGCAAGAAGTCCGCCTCGTCCTTGCATGGCGTCATCTTCTTCAAGCCCTTGTAACAAGCGTTGGCCGGGTAAGAAGCGCAGCACTTCCGACTGCTCCAGGAGATCGCATCCTCCACGGTGCTGTCATGCACTCTGGACTCCGCGCAGGTGCCCTCGTCGGAGGCCTGCGCCACAGCCTGGTGCCATGCAACATCTTTATGGCCAAGGTCCTCGCCGCAGGTGCTCGTCTTCCATGACCCACCAATGGATGAGCAACTGCTATGGCTGGAACAATGGCAGTAGCTGCCGTCCCCGTGACACCCGTGGCTCCCGCAGGTGCTGGCATCGGGAACCGGATTCACTTCACACCACTCCTATACTGAACTTAGAACCCTAGCAAAATTTAAAATTTTAGCTGTTTCTTAGGGATTATAATAACCAAAAATTAAAAACTATTTCTAAGTACCCCCAAGACTCGTGCAAAACGTTCGTCGGGATGAAGTCGGCCTCGCTCTCGCAAGGCGTCATCCTCTTGGCCGCTGGGTTGCAGACGGAGGCCGGGAAGGAGGCACAGCATTTCCTTCGCAGAGCTCCCTGGCCCAAGCCCCGCAAAAGTTAACCCTTTTGCACGGTAGGATTCAAAACTAGCCCAGAAAATCAGAAATCAATCTCCCCAAAAACGTCAGACATTAGCCCCAAAAAGTCAGAAACTACCTGACCTGGTCAGCTACTGAGTTTCTGTGAAGTCCACTGCGTCTCCCCTTGAAGGTCTCCGTCGTATTCGAGATCCGCGCAGCTGCCCTCCTCAGAGGCCTCCTCTGCACAAACTTAGGGTGTTTAGGGTTCCTTTCAAGGGATCTATGAGGGTTCTATAGGGTTTAAGGGTTTAAGGGTTTAGGGTTTAAGTTTAGGGTTTAAGGGTTTAGGGCTTAAGGGCTTAAGGTTTAAGGGTTTTGGGTTTAAGGGTGGTGGGTTTGGGATTTAAAGTTTCGAGCTTAGGGCTTAGGGTTTTTTTTTTTTTTTTTTCATGGCTTAGCATCAGCCGTCCGGTCCTGAAGGGCTCGATGCATCCTGCGACATCACAGGGTCACTCCAGGGTTCCGTTCAGAAAGGCTTCCGTCTTTAGTGCTTTGTTCTTTTTTAGGGCCCTTTTTTCAAGCTGCACTCTCTGCGTTTAGTGTTTAGGGTTTAGGATTTGGGTACGCGGTTTGGGTTTAGGGCTTGTGTTTAGTATTTAGGGTTTAGGGCCTACAGTTTGGGTTTAAGGTTTGGGTTTAGGGTTCCATCTAGACTCCTGAGACGCAATCCCCCCTTTGTTGAAGAGCCTTTGTAAGTCAATCCCTGCTCCTTACCCCTTTCGGGTAGGGGGTCTTATCGGGACTTGGCGACTGCAATGCTGCGTGTTACACGAAAAGATGTGCTCTAGCCCCATACATCTGAGCTTCTATGAAGCCTGGCGAAATTTCCATAGAGCAGAACAAAACAAGACAAAGCGAAACATCGGCTGGCCAAACAAGCGACCCTAAACCCAAACCCTTCATATCCCGCAAGCCCAGAAAAGGGGTCAAAGAAGCAACCGAACATCTGGGCACAAGCGTCAGCATCGAAGAAACAAGACGCTGCAAGACTTTGCTAACTCTGCCACATTTATTGAAACCTTCCGCACAGCTCTCGAAGCGAATATAGGTTTGAGTTATGAGGCTTGGGGCACTTAGGGTTCCGCCAGGCCGAGCCACTTGAGGGGCCAGTGTGACTGTTCCATCGAGCACGTGTGGATCTTCCAGACCCCTCCGGCTGCAGAACAGACCTTGCAGCTTTCAGTCCAAACCGACAACAACTCTGAACCCGAAAAGGGCTTAGAGCTTGGAACTTCACTACGGCCTGAGGCTACAGCCAAAACCGAACGAGACCGACTGAAACCTGTCTGTTACCAGGTAGATCATGCAGCTCCGATGTCCGCCCGCCTCCCCGGAGCAACTGCAGTAGTGGTGCTCCTGTGCTGGAAGTGGTGCACATACACTGCCAAGAATCGCTACAACAAAACGAAGGAGCAATAAGAATGAGATAGGTAAACGTGCGTGTCGTCATCACATCATGAGCTGGCACAGGGAATATGGATCACCATGACCAAAGCAGAAACATAACAAAAAAACAGCAGCAGCAGCAGCAGCAGCAACAATAACAGAAACGGCAGCAACAGCAGCAGCAGCAGCAGCAGGAACCGCAACAGCAGCAGCAGCAACAACAACAACAACAGCAGCAACAGCCACAACACGGACCACCACCACCACCAACAACACTCTCACCACCCCAACCGCCACCCAACCACCATCACTACCAGGGTGAGGGATAAAACACAAAACTAAAAAACATGGTTCAAGAAGAAACTAACACTCCTTCAGTTTCCTTCAGGCTATTAGAGCCCTAGCCGAGTATGCGGACACGTGCGTGAGCTGAGTAGCAGTAGCAGCCGTCGTCGCCGTCGTCGTGGTCCTCGTCGTGTTGGTGGTGGTGGTAGCAGTAGCAGTTATAGTAGCAGCAGCAGAAGTAGTGTAGCAGCACTAGTAAGTCGGAGCAGTAGCTTGGCCAGAAAAGAAGTGCATGCTGGCCATAACAGCATCGCGGCGGTGAAGGTGCTTCACAATGACCTCTTCCTGTCCTAACCCTGTCGAAATACGTAGATGTAAAGATCCACACGTGCGTCTGTGTTGTGTGTGTCCTAGTCGTCGTTGTAGTTGAGCAGCAGCAGCAGCAGGAGGAGTAGCAGTAGTAGTGGTGGTAGCAGCAGCAGCAGCAGTAGTACTGTACTATGTAGTATGCAGCATATAGTTCGTAGTAGTCGTCGTCGTAGTAGTAGTATGTGGCAAGTAGTACATAGTAGTCGTAGTAGTAGTAGTAGTAGTAGTAGTAGTAGTAGTAGTACTAGTACTAGTACTGGTACTGGTACTGGTACTGGTACTGGTAGTGGTAGTGGTAGTGGTAGTGGTAGTGTGTGGTAGTGGTAGTGGTAGTGGTAGTGGCAGTGGTAGTGGTAGTGGTAGTGGTAGTGGTAGTGGTAGTGGTAGTGGTAGTGGTAGTGGTAGTGGTAGTAGTGGTAGTAGTAGTGGTAGTGGTAGTGGTAGTGGCAGTGGTAGTGGTAGTGGTAGTGGTAGTGGTAGTGGTAGTGGTAGTGGTAGTAGTGGTAGTAGTAGTGGTAGTAGGAGTAGCAGCAGTAGTAGTAGCAGTAGTAATAGTAGTGGTAGTAGGTGGCAGGTAGTAGGTAGTATAGTAGTAGTAGTAGTCGTCGTCGTAGTAGTAGTAGTAGTAGCTTCTTTTATCGTTCTGTCCTTGTCTTTCTGCGCTCTGTTTATCATTAGTTATGTCTTTGGTTCGTTCTTGCTTGCTCTCTTGCTGTCTGAAAACTTAAAGTTATCTTTAGTACCTGAGTGGTTGAATATCTTGCACTGGTTCTTTCTTTCTGTCTTTTCCCATAGATTATCACTCTATCTTTCGGTCATGCTGCGTGTCCTGATTCCTTCGTGTATTCTTTCTTAGTGTGCCTTTTTCGTTCTTTCTTTCGTTCTTGTTGCAAATCCATTCCTTCATTCGTTATTTCTTGCGTTGCTGCTTCTCGCTTTACTCACTCACTTAGTCGTTGTTCTTTCATCTGGTTCTTCTTGCGTTCGGTTTGTATTCCTCTCGTTCTTTGTTTATGTGTTCTTTTGATTGATTCAGTTCTTTCTGTGGTTCTTATTTCTCTCCGTCTTTCGTTCGCCTTCTCCGTTCTTTCCCTTTCGCTCTGTCGTTCTTGTTGTAGTTCTTACTTTCCTTCTGTCGTTCTTTCTTTGCTTCTGCCTTTCATCTTTTCTCGCCTTTCCCTTGTGCTTCTTTTTGTCTGTCTGTCGTTTGATGTCTCTGTCTTTCTTTCTTTCGTTCTGGTGTTTTTATGTGTTTCTTCACCTATTCATTGGTTTCTGTATGTCTTTCGCTGTTTATTTCTGTACTTCTTTGTGTATTTCGTGCTTTCTTGCTTTCTTTATGTCGTTCTTTGTCCTTCTTGCTTTCTGTCGTTCGTTCTTTCTTTCTTGCTGCCTTCGCTGCTTCCTCTTGGGCCTCCATGCAGCAATAGCTTTGTTCTGTTGTCGATGCGTTTGTGTTTTAAACTGATACTCTCATACATGTTTGCTTGTTTGTTTGATGCGCTTCTTTTGATGACTCTCCCTCACCACCATCACCATCAGCACCACCAACACCACTACCACGACCAACACCACCAACAACAACACCAACGCCAACGCCAACGCCAACACCAACACCAACACCAGCAGCACAACGGCAACAGCGCAGCAGCAAAACAGCAAAACTAACAGCGCAAAAGCGATTGCAGCGGCAGCGGCAGCACCAACAGACAAAGCAGCACGAGACTCGACAAGACTGGTCAAGTCAGAGTTGTCCCAGGCGAGGATCAGATGCATGAAAAGTGGAATTTCAGACATGAGGGTGCTGTATGTATATCTCATGAAGGAAATGATACGAACCATACATTGAACATGGAACTAGCAAGTACTGACAGCGCTTGCAATCAATGCACTCAGCTTCGCAGATGAACATCCTCAACAGCAGCAATAGGCTCATAGTTGTGAAAGTCACCCCACGCAAAGGTCATCAGCTTCTTCTTCTTGAACAGCATTGTCACCTTGTTCTTCTTCGTCAACATCCTCATGCATAACTATCGTCATCAATGTCAGCACCGTTGGTCAATAACGACTTCCGGACAACTCCACCCTCATCCTGACCATGAAGGGCATAATACAGCAAGAATACATCATTATTTGTAGTATTCTGTGCTGCTATTAAAACTGTCATTACGATTCCTATAACTAGTAGTATAACTACTACAAGTATTACTAGAATTGCGACTCCTATTGATATTATTAGCACTAGTACTATTACTGTTGCTGTTATTGGTACTAGTACTGTTACTCTTGCTGTTACCGTTTCTGACACTGATACTGTTGCTGTTACAGATATCGTTGCTACTATCATTATTGCTGTTCTTAGCATTGTTCGTATCATTTAGATTATTGCACGCACGAACAGTGTTCATACTGTTTTCGTATTACTGTCGCCGGGGTTCTCTACTCCCCCCCCTCTCTGCCCGCCTGATAGTAGGTGCAGCCGGCGGCTTCGCAGGTCACGTTGTCCGGCATCTTGGCACCATTGCAGCGTTTTAGGGTTGAGGGTTTGGGCCTTGGGGGATGGCAAGACTGAAGAGCTTGCCGCTTCGGGGGTTCAAGTGCATGGTTGTTTTGAGCTCGCGTCTGCCCTTAACTTAAATGTACCCAGATGAAAAAAACCTTGTCAAACCCTTGAAAGCAAACCCGTAAAAAGCCGTCTTTGGCCCAGAACTTGCCAAACCCTTGAAAGCAAACCCGTAAAAAGCCGTATTTAGCCCAGAACTTGTCAAACCCTTGACAGCAAACCCGTAAAAAGCCGTATTTTGCCCAGAACTGACATCCCTGTAAGGTCATCCATCGACAGGGAGCCCCAATAATCACCCCAAAGCCGAGTTCCCTTGCAATAGAACCCGTAAAAGGAGCTTTAAAAAGGGGCCCATCTACGGAGCCCTAACCTGGGCGCTGGCCGAGCAGCCCATCGGGCGCACAAACCTCTACTGGGCTCTTCTTGAGGAACTCACTTCAAGTTACCATAAGGGGTTTAAGTTTGTAGTAAATACAGTGGTTTCCTTCCTTACTATGAATCTAAATTACCATCAGGGGGATATAGAATAGGGCTTCCTTACTATGGTAACTTAGGCTAGGCCCTAAACCCTAGACCCTAAACCCCTGAACCTTAAACCCCTAAACCCTAAAACCCTAAACCCCTAAACCCCTAAACCCCTAAACCCTTAAGCTCCTAAACCCTTAAGCTCCTAAACCCTGAACCCCTAACCTCCCAAGCAAGAGCGCAGTCTTCAGCCGTGCCGCCGACTTGAACTCGCAGTGGCTGTACAACTCCTCCCATGGCCGGAGGTTGTAGGGTTTAAGGGGTTTGGGGTTCAGGGTTTAAGGTATAGGACTTCGGGTTTGGGGTTTGGTGGTTTGGGGTTTGGGATTTGGGGTTAAGGGTTTGGGGTTTAGGGTTTAGGATATAGGGTTTGGGGTTCGGGGGTTTGGGGTTTAGGGTTTGGGGTTTAGCATTTAGGGTTTTATTTTGAGGGAGATTTTCGACCTGTTGTGCAGCTATTCCTTTACCAGGAGCTCGGCGTGGGACAAGAGCCCTGACGTTTAGCGTTTAGGCTTTGCGGGTTGGGGTTTAGGGTTTACTTTAGAGTCGCAAGCCTGATAGAGTTATGAAAAATGTGGGGCCATAGGCCTCCGGGATGATGGGGTTCCAAGGATTGTCGGGCTATCGGGGATGTTCAGTTGGAGGTTGAAGAGTTTCGGAGCGTTAGGATTATGGTGGTTATGGAGGGCTAAGATAGGGGCCTTCATAACTTCATTAGGATTTTGGGGCCCACTAAGCTCTAGCTATCATAAGGAAGCCATGCACTACAAATAATGCACCAGCAGTTTGGCATCGCAACAAGCTCGAAAGGGGAAGACCGGCATATCGCAGACATGACAAGCGCATGCAGAAAAGCTCATGCCCGCCTGCTCTGGCGTAAAGTCAGCGGCGACTTTGCACGGCGTCATGAACTTGGCATCTTTGTCGCCTTCGCATGACTCCGTCTCTCATCAGATGTTCTTTCAAGTTGTCTTCGAGGATTTTGAGACTTTTGCCTTTGTGATCAATGAAAAACACAAGCAACCTCGAAATCTCCGCTCCACGGAGCAACAAGTAATCCGGAAGTCATCAGCCGTATCTGCTAAAGTTTTGGCTACACATCGAACTCACCAACCCAGCCCCAATCTCTTGACGCGGCACAGATCGTCGCAGGGAAGGAGGCACAGCATTGCTTTGCAGGGTGCGTCACCCAGTCCTCTGCGACAAGCAGGAAGCCAAGATGGTGGAGAAGGCCGAAAAGTGAAGGGCCACAGTAACTAATATTGGCTTATGGGGGTTAGGGTTAGGGTTTAGGGTTAGGCCTAGGGTTTGGAGGCCGCTGTTATTAGCACAGGCTCTTGCGGGTTGAAAAAACTGTAGTTTTCATGAGCAACGTGTAGTAGCGGCTGTTAGCTCTGGCAGTTGTAGTGGCAAAGTAGCAACTTAGTGAGATTTGTACAGCAGCAATAGTAGCAGTAGTCGAAGTGTCGTCGTCGATGTCGTAGTGAAGATGCAAGGCTACAGCGATACTTGTTCTTAATGCTGGTCCTGCCAATGTTACCTGCGCGAAAAATTAAACTTGAAATGCAGAACTGCGGCACTTGGGAGTTTCCGCAAATTAGGGGTACCTTATTTGGGGGTCCTTATAAATAAGGATCCTATACTTTTTCGGGTATTATATTAGGGTCCCCAATTTTCGGAAACCCCCACTTCGATTGCTGCCGCCATTGAGTCTACGACGGCGAGGCTGTGACTTTTGTGCGCTGCTTGCGCTCGCACTTCTTCGGACTGCTTCTGCCACTACTTGGAGGTTCACGGGTAGTTATAGGTGGGGTTAAAAGTCCCTTAATATTTCTTATAACTATAGCTATAACCCTACTTATGACTACCCATGAACCTCCAAGTAGTGCTACTTGCTATTGCCACTGCTGGTCCTTCTCCCCCACTCTGCCCGAGACGCCGTGGAGGGTTGGTACTTGATTGTTAAGCAAAGCCCACCATAAACCCGGAGACAATCAGTAGTTGGAGTCCTCCAGCGACTCGCCCCACGGCAGGGCCATGCCGCTGCAGCTACCTTCAATGGAAGCGTTTCCAGGCTTCAGATGAAATCAGAACAAAAATCAGAAGAAGAATGGTTGTCTGAAGTTTCAGCTGCTTGGAGCATCGAGAACTCTGAAGGTGCTTACCGGTGCACTTCACGTCCGGAGAACCCGGGCTAAACCCTGACGGCGCCTGCGGCCGATGCGTTCTTCAGCGCCCAATACTCGGACCACCACTGCTGCAGCCAGTCCATGCAGGTTACACCTGAAATCTGAGTTAGGGTTTAGTGTCTAGGGTTTGAGAGTTGGGGGTTGAAGGAGTAACGAGAGTCTGCAAGAGGAAGATTTTGATATTGAGCTATCAGCTATCTTCCTGTTCCTCTTCCTCCTCTTCCTCTTCCTCTTCCTCTTCCTCCTCCTCCTCTTCCTCCTCCTCTTCCTACCACTATTGCTCTTATTATTGTCCTTACTCTTACTCTTATTGCTGTATTACTACGACGACGACTGCTACTACTGCTGTCACTGGCTACCGCAGCTGTTGCTGCTCTGTTGAATCTAGCTACTGGCACAACGACGGCGCCTGCTCCTGTGACTGGCGGTGCTCACAGGGCTCGCCATTGCCGCATGCTGCCCCTAGCTCCATTCCCAATGTACTTATTCTTATGCCTCTTGTTCCTCTTACTACTCTTCTTGTCATTATTCTTCTTACTCGTCTTGTTAATGTTGTCTGTGTTTACAGGTCTGAGAGCGGCGCCCTGGTCTGTCATGTGGTCGGCGAGGAAGTCGCTCGCGTCCTGACTTGCACCACGCAGCCAAGAATGCACCACCCGCGATCACCCCATGCCCCGGTCTGCCTTGCAAGGAGTCGCGAGCGTGCCTCCGGGCTCGCAGAACCTCGGGAGCTCTGCAGCCAACAGAAAGCCTCAGAGCGTGCCTCCCCCGGGTTCCTGTCTGAGGCCGAGAGGCGTCTGAGGCCAGGAAGCGCAGCACTTCCGGGCTGGCCAGTCAATGGACTCCGGGAGAGTCCTTGGCGCGGAAAACTCCCACTACGTCTGCAGCTGCTGCTATGACTCCTCCTCTCATGCGCCTCGTGATGACGATGCTGCCACTGCTGTTTATAATGTTCACGTAGCTACTTCGAATGCTGCTATCAACACAATCAAGACGAGTGACACCACCAAGACGACTTCGTCTGCTGGTACTGTGAATGCTTGTCTGGCTATTCCAGAAGCGTAAGAACACCTGCCCCTTTAAAGGAACCCTTCTAGTACCCTTCAAAGGAACCCCTTTAAAGCGTACTAGAAGGGTGCCTTTGACTTCAAATCTGACGTGCTTCGAGTGCCAGCTGGTCATCACACCGTCGCAGGTACCCAACTCGGTGGCCTCCTCCCATAGAGCGTAAATCTCGCCATGCTGGTACCTGAGGGTTGAGGGTTTAGTTTAGGGTTTATGGTTGAGGGTTAAGGTTTAGGGTTTAGGGTTTAGGTTTTAGGGTTGAGGGTAGGGTTTAGGGTATAGGGTTTAAGGTTTAGGGTTTAGCTGGGGGTCCCCTTGACTCCCGACCTGTCCAACCAAGCCAGTGCCACTGAACTTCATCAGACTCGAAACTGAAGACGACCCAATCTTAGACACGGCCGCCACCTATACACCTACATAGAGGCTTTCCCCACGACTCATTCATGCACAAACACTAACCTTGCGAGACAGCGAGTAAGAAAGAATAACAAAACGAGCGAAAGAAACACAGAGAGAGAGAGAGAGACAGAGGGACAAACAGATAAGAAGCGCAAGAAAGCATGGATGCAGAAAGAAAGGGGGTGTAACATTAAGAGAGACAGAGATGTCGGCATAGCAACAGAGTTCATCCAAGTGGCATTTGCATCTCTTCCTTGCAAAGGTGATACTTCCAGGTGCCGCCAATCAAAGCACACCCTTCTTCCGTCGCACAGTGGCAATGAGGATGATCGGGGTAGCCATGTGCACTGCCTCAAATTTCAAACACTTTTGAGATGCAGCGACAGAACCACAAACTACTGCAGAAATAAACTATGTTGACGGGCACGGCACAATTTGCAGCAACGCATTCGGATTCCGAAGGGGTCGTGCTCCCCTCCAGGTTGCACCAGCCGTATTCCTCAGCTTTTCCCAAATTGGCGGGGCCTGAGGCTACTGAGGGGCCCGGTCGTGAGTTTACATCCGAGGTCCAAGTATGTCCGAGGCACACTCATCTTTGCCTCGGGCATGTAATCCTCCAGAGACTTACAAGGATGGAAGTCCTTTTTGGGTGCCTCTGTGGTCGTGGTCGCTGGCTGAGTGCTGGCGACGGGGATGAAGCTGGTGGTGGAGGATTTGGGGCTCGGGCTGGCCGTGGTGGTATTGGTAACGACGGCAGCTCCGATGAAGGAGGTGGCGGTAAAGGCAAAGGGCTCATGCCCCAAGCCCGCGAGTTTGGGCGCAAGGATGGACAGGAAGCTTCGGGTGGTGATCGTTCTCATGGACGCCGTCACCTCTTCTGGCGTAGCGCCGATGGGGCACGGGAAGGTGAAGATGCAGAGCATGTCAAGGGTCGTCGGCGTCGCGTTGCTCACCTCTGTCGGGGAAGGGTCCCGGTCCCGAGGAGCAGGCTCGACAAGGCCTTCTTTGAGATACTATTATATAGCCAAAATTATGCTATAATGGAACACAATATGCCAAAGCATACTGTAGTATAGTCTACGATAATATGCCATAATATATCATGGTCTACCGTAACTTTGTCATAGTTGGGTAACATTTCACATTCTTATGGGCATGTAAACCCAATAAAGCAATGAACATGTACATGTTTAGTCCTACCCCAACCATGAACTAGATGATATGCCATAAAATATCATGATATACCATAACATACTATACCCTACCACCCTAATATACTATACTGGACCCTAAACCCTGAACCCTAAACCGGTCTCCTCCTCAGAGAGCCCAATCCCCCTTCATTAAGGAATATACCTTAAATTATGAGGAGATTCATGTTATGCTTTAAGCTATATTCCTTAGTTAAGGGATATTGGGCTCTCTGGGGCCCCAAAACCCTATTCTAATTATTAAGGCCCCGATATTATAGTACCCTTGTAGATCCCTTTGTAGTATTCCTTATATCGACCCCCTACCACCCTCCCTGGCGCCTGGGCCAGCGCGGCCGTGGACTCCCAGCGGACCTCAATCTCCGCGGCAACGAGGCCGAAGCCCACGGATTCGGCCAGGGCATCCTTGATGGCCTCCTGGACTCTTTGGGGTTTAAGGAAGTTTAGGGTTTAGGAGGTTTAGGAATTTGAGATTTAGGAGTTTAAGGTTTAGGAGGTTTAGGAGTTTAGGGTTTCGGGTTTAGGGTTCGGGGTTTAGGACTCATGGTTGAGCGAAGAAGGCTTCTTATGAGAACACTCCATGGGGTTTAGCGGTTTAGGGCTGAGGAGTTTAGGGTTTAGGGACTTTGTTCTCCTTTGCCGGCTCTCTTTGAAACGGCAAGACATAACCAGGCCTTTGGGGAAGCTTGGCCTCAGGCTCAACTATGAACATTGTCTCCGGCACAAGGTCCTGCGCTTTCAACATCTCGTCCTGCGTTTTGCCCACGTACTGCTGGGGATCATAGACATAGTGGAACTTGCCTTCGATCATCATGGGACCTCATGCAACAACGGCTCGCATGTGACAAAGCCGAGCTTAGACCACATGGCAAACTCTGTACCGCCACGTCAGGTGTTGTTGGAAGCGCAAACCAAAAGTGGTCACGATGATGTTTAGAGGTTAGAGGGAGTTCGCAACGGATCGTAGAAACAGCGGCGCATGTAATCACAGAAGCGACTGAGAAATCGTAGGACCTTTGCTAACCCGAAACCCTAACCCCTAAACCCCTAAACCCTGAACTCTAAGCCCCTAAACTTCCCTAAACTCCAAGCCCCTGTGCCAGGCCATGCCATCCGTTTTGAGGGCCCTGCCCGATCCGTAGAGGCTCTCCTCCCCTGCAGCTCGTGGCTTAGGGCCCCTTAAGGGTTCCTTTAAAGGAACGGAATCCTGAAAAGGCTTCATTAAGGGCTCCCCTAAGGGAGCCCTTAAGGGTTCCTTTAAGGGATCCTTTAGAGGGATCCTGAAAGGGTTCATGAAGGGCTCCCCTAAGGGAGCCTTGAAGGGTATGGGAGCTTCATGGATCAAGGTAGCGGGCTTTGAACTGCTAAGAGAGCAGATAGCAGCTTCGGATGGCATGGCACAATCTGGTGCGCAATCACATTCGGATGTAGCGCGTGGACAAACGAAAGATACGCTATCATGTCGCAACATGATGTGAAACTGTCTGGCCTCATGTTACATGTTTGAGTCATATTTGATGCTATATGATTACATAATGCGAGATACGAGGCACACAGCGCGGCAACACGAAGGAAGTCTTGCAAGAAAGACTGGTCCGGTGTACAACGGCGAGACAAGCATGTAAGACCAACATGCAAAATCTCAACATGCTGCGCATTTCTGCATGCTACATACTCTTACTACATGATACAACATGAGAGATTCGTACTACATGGCACACGCCGCCTTGAATCGCCTCAATCTACTTCCAGCTGTCACGGATGAGAGAAACCAACAAAAGGAAAGAACGACAAGGAGACAGCGATTTCAGGATGAACCCCCAACCCCTAAACCCTACACCTAAACCCCCAACTGCCATGATCGCAAGTTGGAGCAAGACTATTCCTCCGCTCACGAAGACCCGGCCTGTGGAAACAGGCGCTTGCTGCTGACCTCGCTTGAAGGATCACGGGTGTAGGCGTTTAGGATTTAGGGCTTTAGGGGTTTAGGGTTTAGGGCTTAGGGTATAGGATAAATTTTGGCTTGACATGAAAGCCTCACGGCTAACTCGATGACTCTTTCCAAAGCGTTCAGGTTACAGAGGCTTCTGTGTTTCGCCTGCACAGAAGCTTCGCTGAGTCAACCACCTGCATCGTGAATCTTGTCTGTTGGCCCTCAGCCTAGACCCAAAAAACATTAACTCGGATAGTCCATGGCCCAACCCATCCCGAAACCCCGAAAACTTGTTCCGCAAACACCTGAAACCCTGAACCCCAAACCCGGCAGAACCGTACGCCTCACCCTAAACCCCCTGAAAACAAAAAAACTCAAACCCAAAACCCTAACTTCCTGGGCTTCTCACGGGACTTGTGCTGGAGCAAAACTCCGGCACGAGCAGCACAAGCAACATCTCCTGTCTTAAAGGGGCTTTGCTTTGGGCGTTTAGGGTTTTAGGTTCAGGGCTTGGGGTTTAGGTTGGGTGCGTCCCCCACTCAGTCATAATTGAGTAATATTCATAGTATCGATATATTAGGACCTTATTTGTAGCCCTATTATAGACTCTTACTGTGTGGGGGCATTACCTAAGGTTTAAGATTCAAAGTCCAAGGTTGGCTCTGTTATTAATCTTAATCTTTTATCATTCCTTGAAGAGTTCCCTTCAAGGTTCCTTTCTTAGAGAGCCCAATACCCCTCAATTAAGGAGTATACCTTCGATTATAAGGAGATTCATATTGTGGTTTAAGCTATTTTCCTAAATGAAGGGATATTGGGCTCTCTGGGTTCAGCGTTTAATTAAGAGTTCATTCAGGGCGTAAGGTTTGGATTAAAGGCTCCCGTTAAGGGAGCCCTTTGAAGAATCCTTCTCTGGCTTTGGGTTTAGATATCTGGCTTCCTATAAGGATTCCCAAAAAGGTTCCCGTAACGGTTTTTGCTCGGGTTCCTTTTGGCGGCTCCTGTTTCAATTGTTCCTGGGTTCTCTCTGCAGGTATCTCTCCCTCAAGAATCTTGTTTCGCTATCGCCATGCCAGGCATCTCCTCAATATTCACAGCTTAGGGTTCGGGGTGTTGTTGGGTTTGGACTTCAAGCTTCAGGCGTAGGACCTTAGTGTTCTCTGGACTCTTTGGCTTGCGGGGTTTAGCATTCACATGGTCTTTTCAAGCACTAGGCTGTGAAAAACCTTAGGCTCCTGTGTCACAGACCTCTGCGGCCAGGAGCGGCACCAGGCCGACAAAAAGAGAAAGCAAAAGCCTCATAGCCATCCTCAGAGAGGTCGGGTTTACAGCTTTGGGTTTCGGGCTTAAGGGGTCTAGAGTTTGCAGCTTAGGGTTTAGGTTTAATCGTTTTGGGCTTCAGGGAGGGTCCTCAAGAAAAGCTTTAGAGCTTCATGGTTAGGTTGGCAAAGTTGGATGCAGTGTCGTGAAGATTTAGGAAGACTCATGATGTAAGGGTTTGGAGTTTAGGGTTAAGGGTTTAGAGTTAGGGTTTAGGATTTAGGGTGAGTGGCTTCAGACTTTAGGGGCCTTGGGACTGAAAGATTTGGAAGCCGAGGAGCACGCAAAGAATGGTGGCGGCACAAGGCAGCGGTCAAGAAGCGAAAGTGTGACTTGATCTTTCAAAAGCGCTGCGGAAGCAGACAACGAAAGGTTGCTACAAGCGGACAGACATAAGGATCTTGAGGAAGCTGTACTGGGAATCTGGGCTCATCTTCAGCACAAGGCAGGATAATGCAGGTATTCCATGATGCCGTAAGCGAGCCTTGCCGGCACAGTAGCTAAGGTTGCTTGGAGAATTGCGTAGATGTCCACAATCCCCAAGCCTCAGTCTGAAGCCATAGGTCATCATGCGCGAAGCTTAAAACGACCTTTTTCTCCAGAAATTCTTCAAAGCGCAAATCCAAGGGTAGACGAGGCCTTGTTCAACGGCCGGAGTCAGGCGTGTAGAGCAATGCTGCTAAGGCTAGAATGCTAAAACTATGCACACGATGGAGATGCGTGCGAGACTTTAGGATGATGTGTGTATTGATATGTATTGATCATGCATGTCACCTGCATGCTAGGGTAACGGAAAAGTTGCGGAACCAAAGTCGGAAACAAGGAGGCAGGAGTCGGGAAACAAAGCGGCAGGAGTCGGGAACAAGGGGCGCAGCAGTCGGGAAGGTGAAGAGGCAGGAGTCGGGAAACATGCGGGGAAAAAAAAACGCATGAGCGGCACCATGAGCATCCGGCACCTGATTCGTAGTACTACTACTACTGCTACTACTACTACTACTACTACTACTACTACTACTACTACTACTACTACTACTACTACTACTACTACTACTACTACTACTACTACTACTACTACTACTACTACTACTACTACTACTACTACTACTACTACTACTACTACTACTACTACTACTATTACTACTACTACTACTACTACTACAACTATTACTACTCCTACTACTAATAATAATAATAATATTACTAACAACAAATGCTAATGCTAACTATAACTAATACCAATACCAATACGGATACTAATACTAATGTTATCACGACTACAAACACACTGATTCTAATATTAATACTCATACTCATACGCACACTAAAGCTACAAATACTAGTACTAGAACTAATACGAATACAATACGAATACACATACAGATATCGATACCAACACCTAGTACGCGGAGCGGCAGCTGCTTTTGCTTGAGTCCTTCGCGCGCTTTCCAGTCCTGAGGCCTGCAAAGACGCAGGCCGTCGCAAGTAGCAACTCCGCGACCCGGTGCTACGGTTGCCCAAAGGCCGTGTCTTTGATCTATCGTGGTATGAGACAGGTATCAAGTTACTTGTCCATGACGGTAGCCTTATCTAAATGTCTCTTGCACCTGGAGAAGGCTCACCGAAACTGGCAAACGCCACCGTGGCACCGGCTCTAACATTCGGCGACCCACGGCGAGAGGGGGGCTCGAACATCGATCCGCAGCAAAAAATCCCCTTCTTCACTGCGGAGTGTGCTTCCGGTACAGTTGGTGTTCTATCTAGCCAGACTCTAGCCGACGAGCCTAATGCGGCTTCCCTTCTACAGCTCGTCAGCGTCACCCCAATCGAGCACGCTGTTGTGGAGGTTCTTAATAGGAAACTTGCTGAAGGCGTTCATAAGAGGGTTGCCACACACCGAAAACATGTCTCGTCCGCTGAAAACGATTCCAGCTGCAGTTTGCGGAAGGAGGCTCTTTTGTTTGCAACAAAGTTTTGGGGCAATCTTAAAGAAAGACCTAGGACGTATGTCGATGGTTATTACAGATCCATGCCTGCGGGCTCCCACCGTCATGGAACAATCCAGTGGCGAGAAAGAAACAGCCAACACGGATGCGCACTAGCAGGATCTTCGATAAGCTGCTGTTGTCTGCTCTTGGTCGACGCGGAACACAGTTGTTGGAAATAGTGGGTTAGAAGTCTGTAAGGAACTTTTGTTTTAGGCTTAAAATCGAGACTAGAAAACAAATTACAGCATCCTGGAACAAGCTACAAGACTGTGGCTAGTTCACGTACTGCATTTTAAGGCCCGCAAAACACAAGCAATTCTAGCTTCGCCAGGTCGGCCCTCCACAGTAAAAGGACGCGAACATGTTTCTGCGAGAATGCCACTTCAATGAATAAAATTACAAATATGAAATTTTGAATGAAAAAGTCACGTAATTGTACATATTCTCGTACCGAAAAGCCTAGTCCCCAGAGGTCAAGTCTCCCAGAACGACGTCTGCGCCCAGACATTCAACTCCGCCAGTCTGTCGTTCAAGTCGAGAACCAGGTCTGCTTTTTTGTTTTCAGGGAATGTCTCA